CACACATATCTCATCTTACCGTACTCACAGAATCCGCTTTGTAATTGTGCTGTATAATGCAGCACAGTATCACCGCTTCGAGGAGATGGACGTCCAGGACGGAGGCGTGGAAGGGGGGAGCGGCGAAAACAGCGAGTGGAGGGGATGGGGCAAGGGCACGGAAGTTTGATGGAGTAAGTTTGATGCAAAAACGCATGATCGCACCGGCTCGCCTGGTGCGTTCCAGCCTGGTTGGTTCTTGAGTTAGCAATTTTTCTGCCAAAAATTTTCACTGAGCCGTACGCGACAATCATGCACGCCCGTGGGCTGAGTTCGATGAAACTAAGTCGTACCTCAGTTCTCAGTAGCCCTGGTTCCCGTGCTAGCCATTTTCGCGCCAAAAATTTTCACGGAGCCGTACGTGATTACCACTAATACTGACGGGCTGAATTTGATAACCGTAAGTTGTGCTTGAAACATTCCATGAGAATCTCGGCCTCCCAGTTTTCCCGGTTCCCGACTTAGCCATTTTCACGCCAAAAGCTTTTACGGGGCCGGACATGAGAATCACACATGCTCGGGAGCTGAATTTTATAAATTTAAGCTGTACATTGTATTAAGAACATTCCTTGGAAATTTCAGCTCCCCAGCTTTCTTCGTTCCAGAGTTAACGACCAAAACTTTTACCCCCTTGAATGAGGAACCCAGACTCGCGTGAGGGCTGGTACCGCGGTCTCGGGGTGGCACTTGGTCGGGCAACACATCGGTAAAATATTGGCTCCACAGCTTGCTTGGGTGCTGAGTTGAAATAACCGGACACACACACACACACACACACACACACACACACCGGGATTGACACAATATGAGTTTTTGCATTTACGTAGAAGCAAAAACGCATAAAAATAAGGCAGGGCAGCGGGATGGGCCCGGAAAAATACGTGGTGAGGGAGTCGCCGCGCGACTCCTTAGCGCAGAGTCGATAATGGCTCAACGCCGTGGGACTCGGCGCAGAGGCGGAAGCTGTGCCATATATGGTCCACTTATTGGCCAAATTTGTTATTATGCTGTTTTTTTGGGCGGAGGACGGGGGAAAAGAGGTTATGGGATCATCCTAAGTACTTCGGACAAAAGGAATCTAATTACTGGAGGGAAGTTGTGGTTTCAGAGTCGGGTCCTTAGGTGCAATAATGAGGACGGGTGAGGAGGAGATTCACGACGTCTTGACCCTGGGGTCATACAGTGCGCATTACATAAACAACATAGCTGCAGTACTTGTATGCTGAAGTTTCTATGTATTTTTACAAACGAAGAATCAAGAGAGACATAGAGCCCGAGGCACTCATATGCTATATTATTCGTGTACGTTATATATATATATATATGCTATATATATAATGCACCTATGCTATATATATATGCTATATACATATATATATATATAGCATAGGTGCATTATACCGGATGGTCCACTCCTCCAAACGGTTGTAGTCCATTACATATACAGATGCTATACTTTATATTTCTATCTGTACAATATACCAACAGCATAGACCCATTATAGCTTCAGCGCGTGAGCTGTGTATTATATACAAGCAGCACATGTGCATTACATGACAGAAATCGCCATAAATGATGTTTATGTGGGTATACAGAGTGTATGTTATATACTTCCTATTGCGTCATCTGCATAAGATGCCAACAGCATAACGACAATTTCTCTTCCGTATACGCACTGTGTAGATTATATAAACAACATAACTGCAGTACTTGTATGCAGAAGTTTCTATGAATAGCGGTGCGCACCAATAGCCGATGCAATCATGCGTTTCGCACAGTTCCGTCAAAAGAAAGTTTGTCCGCTAAAGATTTTCGCTGCTTTGCAATTTGTTCTGTGCAAAAACAGTTGACGTGCGATCTGGTTTCTAAGCTGCGAAATCTCCTACTAATAATTTCACATGCCGATACATGAGGCAGGGGCATATAAAAATTCGATTTGCAACCCTGGACCGTGAACGTTCTCTCAAAATTCCAACTTCCTAATTTCCTAGCTTTCGACTAATTTTCGCTCTAAAAGTTCCGCGCAGCCGTGCATGAGACCTTGGCAACTAAATTTGAGTTTGCTAGGCCCCTGCATAAGCAAAAAACTTTCTCTTGAAATTTTCAGCCTCCTAGCTCTTCTGACTCTCGAGATAATAATTTTCCTCACCAAAACTTTCATGGGGCCTTACGTGACACTCGGGAACGTTGGAAGGCTGATTTTAAATTTGCTGAAGTCGTGCCTGTGTAGAGGTTATTACTGCAATCATTTAGCTTCCAAGTTTTCATGATTCCCGAGATAATAATTTTCTCCGACAAAACTTTCACAGGGCCGTACGTGGTACCCAGTCGCAGTGGAAGGCTGAAATTAAATTTGCAGATTGCACGCGGGCCGAGGAGCATCTTCCTAAATTTTAAAGTTCCTAGCTCCTCCGGTTACCTGATTGAAATGCACTTAGAACACATTTTCTATGGACACACGCAGACAGGGTCTCGACAGTATGCGTTTTGTGCAACTGTTGCAGCACAAAACGCGTGATAAATATTTATTGCATTCATATTCAGATTCAAATTAAGCTATCTATAAAAATGATGAATGCAAATTTGCAGCTTCAGATGCAGGCTCAGGCGCAAAAGCAGCGGGCTACAGCCGTAACATCACGGTCTACCGATTCGATGGTATTGCTGTCAACAAATGCGCGCAGCAAAAGTTCTCGAGAGCTCCCGTACACGCAGCTTTCAGTTACTCTCGACAGCAATCAAAACTACAAGAAATACGAGCCGACAGCATTAAACTCATCTAAAAATGGTTACCGTCGAAATTCACTTGTTATTTTGGATTCATCGACGATTATACCGAACTATTATAGTATACGCGAAGAAGTAAGGCGCGAACTGAAGCTCAGCAAACAGGTTTGTTCAGTTTTGGCTCTT